AGAGGAAGGCTGCTGCAAAGGGCCAGGGGAGGGGGGAGGGGGGCTGGGACCCCCAAGTTGCAGTGGAGTGTTAGGGAGGGGTTGGAATGTGGGTGCACATTGGAAGTAGAAACAACAGGATGTCCTCAAGGGTTCACAGGGGTGTGGGAGACAAAGAAGAGTCAGGGCTGACCCCCAGGTTTTGGCCTGAGCAACAGGAGGGACAGAGAAGTCCTCTTCCAGAGCGGGAAGACTGGGACGGAAGCGGGTTTTGGGGTGGGCGTGACCAGCAATTCCGTTCTGGCCCAGGTTAAGTTTGAGTGGACATGGGGATTTGGAGCAGGCAGGATGTGTGAACCGGTATTAGGGAGAGGGTTGGCCCAAGACGGACTCGGGGAGCCAGCTGCCCACGGACACTGCTGAAAGTGGCCAAGTCCCCGAGAGATCAGCAGGGGGGCTGACGGACCCCCGCAAAGGCAGGCGTGAAGCTGCCCGCCCCCAGGTGGGAGAGGAGTCTGCACGGTGGGGGAGCCCGGCCCCTGGAAGCCAGGTGGCAAGTGTGGGGAGGAGGAGGAGGGAGTGATCGGCTGGGACAAATGCTGCCAATGAGACTGAGAATTACCACTGGCTATGGCAACGCGGAAGCCATTAGCGAGCCTGAGAGAGCGTCTGGGTTGAGAGGTAGGGCCCTCACCCGGCTGGAGCGGCTGAAGAGAGCCTGGGAAGGAAGGACTTGGGAACAGCAAACCCTGACGGCTCCTTCAAGCAGTTTTGCTGCCAAAGGGACCGGAAAATAGGGCAGTAGCTGGAGGGAACAGTGGCCAAGACTTTTGTTTTTGTTTTGTAATATGTAAAACAATTTTAATTGCTTTTTAAAATTTAAATTTTATTCATTGTTGCGTAGATGATATATTCCCATGATCCCAAACATCAAAGATTCCAAGTGGTTTTGGTTAAAACATTTTCCTCCTACCCTGTCCCTCTCCCAACCCCCATCCTGGAGACGACCCATGCAATCAGGCATCTGTGTAACCTCGCGGAGCACGCCTGTGTATGCACACATGTGTGCACGCACAGTATTATTTTTCTCCCCTTTTGACACAAATAGTTACATCTTTTTTTAAAGCCTTTTTTTCTATTTCAGATGGTTACATCTCATACACGCTGCTTTGTGCCTTGCTTTTCTTATAGTTAACAATATATCCTGAATATCATTGTACACACAAAGAACATTCTCATCCTTTTTTTAAAAGAAGATTTTACTTATTTTTAGAGAGAGGGGTGTAAGAGAAACAATTGGTTTCCCCTCACATGCCCCCAGCCAGGGACCTGGCAACCCAGGCATGTGGCCTGACCAGGAATCAAACCGGCGACCTTGCAATTTGCAGGCGATACCCAACCCACTGAGCAGTCAGGGCCATTCGCATCCTTTTTTCTGGCTTCCTATTATTCCATTCTATGATATCCTACATGTAGTTGTATCCAATCCCCCAGTGGCACACAGTCATTTGACGTCAGTTCTATTATTATCTCTGTTTTACAGAGAAGCAGCTGAGGTGCTGAGAGGTTCATCAGCTTTCCCGTGATCGCTCAGTTAGCTCGCTGGCGTGGGAACGTCACACCCTCAGCCACACGCTTGGCTCTCCTCGGCCTCCTGGATTAGTTTCCGACCCTTATTTCTCCCTCAGTCTTACACTCGTAGCGATTATTTTGCTATCCTTTTGTTCATGCAAATAACACATATTTACAAGCTCTGACCATGTGCCAGGCCCAGAGTGAGGCCCACAGGATATGGAGAGACGTGACAGAGAAGTCCTCTGCCACCCAGGAGCTTGCAGGCCAAGTCTTTGTGTGTTTTTGTAAGCCACCTCCAGTCGTCCATGAATGACACAGGGAATTAGTAAAGAAGCCTGGTCCCAGTTTTTCACTAATGAGAAAACCAAACGTGCCAACAAATGACTGTGACTATCCTGTGAGCTGAACACCATAAAAGAAGCCTGGGAACACAAAACATCGTGGCCCCATTTCCCCCCACCCCCCACCTGGCCCTCCTCCACTTTCCCATCTCTGTGAAAGGCCCACCACCCAGCCAGTGGCAAAAGCCTTCAGGGACACCCCCCGCACTTCCGACATCAGGTCACCCACCCTATCCTGAGACTACCCCCTGGCGCCCTCTGGACTCTGCCCAGCTTCACGCTGTTGGACTGCCAAGCCTTGCCAGGGGCCTTCTCATAAAGGAGCCACCCAATAACTTCCTCCTCGGTCTTGTCTCCACACCAGCCCCTTCCCATCCACTGTCCATCCAGCTGATGTGTCACTGTGTCATTTCCCTGTTCTAACCTTCTAAGGCCCCCCTTTGCTGCCCTCCGGCTAATGCCCTGGAAAAGGGCCCAGGGCTTAGGATAGTGGGCTCTGGAGTCTGAACCCCAGCTCGGCGACTTATCAGTGCTGAGAACTTAAAAGACCTGCTTAACCTCTCTGATGAAGCAAAATTTGAGATCCTGTAATGCCATAAACAAGAATGATAAGTGATAATGAGATGAATTAGATAATGATAATAATCACCCCTACCTTTCGAAGCAGTTGTGAGGATTAAGTTAATGAGGCCCGCTCCCGCCTCCCCGCACGCCCACGCCTGTCTTCCCTCCCAGGCCTGCATCTCCTAAACCTAAGGGTCCCCAGGAGACTTGCACCCAGGGGAGCAATATGTGGAAGCAGCTTGTTCTGGGCTAACCTCCTGAACCCGAATCCAAGCTCCAACTTTCCAGTGAGCCAAAGCAGCCTGCCTAAACTCATTTCTTTCCTATAACGTTTCTAGAGAGCCAAAGAAGCCCCACCTGGGCTCTCTTCTGTTGCCCCTTCTATCCCAAGCCCACCCTTGTTTTACTGTCCCCAGGTTTAATAAACATACTCTGGCCTTAGCTGGTGTGGCTCAGTGGATTGAGTGCCAACCTGTGAACCAAAGGGTTGCAGGTTCGATTCCCAGTCTAGGGCACATGCCTGGGTTGCGGGCCAGGAGCCCAGTAGGGCCCTTGTGAGAGGCAGCCACACACTGATGTTTCTCTCCCTCTCTTTCTCCTTCCCTGCCCCCCTCTAAAAATAAATAAATAAAATCTTTAAAAAAAAAAAAAGAACATACTATGAAGATCAAAAAAGGTAATGAGTATTATAAGGATAAGGCCCTTATGAGCTGGATCATGTGTAGGTCTACAGTCTCACCAGTTCTCATCTCCTCTAAAAATCAGCTGAAATGCTTTCGATTTTCTGAAAGCATCAAATTCCCTCATTCTGTCCTCTCTCCAACCCCTCTGAGTTGAAACCAGGGTCCTAGTTCTTTCCCACTGAATCTCCAACGGCTGGACCCACAGTATGTTGAAAAAAATGAACGAATGAGAAAGGCATTGTATTTGCATTCTAATGGCTATGAATAGGAGTTTTCCAGGTAAAGAAGTGATGGAGGCAGGGTTATAAAAGGGTTTGTTCCCTCCTAGGGTCTGAACGCTCCCAGTGCCTGGAGAACAGAAGGGAGATGAGGTTGGAGAGGAAGGCTGAGTTCAATCCAGACTTTTCTGTGTGAGCAAAGGATATTCATGAGGGAAGGCTTTTGTGACAGTGGCAGTTGCTTGGAGGAGAGACGGAGGGCCGGGAGCTGGGTATGTGGCAAAGCTCCAGGGAACAAAGAAGAGGTCTGAACCAGAGCAGTAGCTGCGGGAACAGAATGAAGAGGGAAGGCTTGAGAGAAAGAATATAATTTCCTAAACACTTTTACTGCACGCCTCCTAAAAAGATGTTAGGGAATAAAGAGCAGCAGTAGCATTTTCCCGTCTTCAAGTAGCTCAAATTCTAGGAGAGGCAGACAGACCTACAAATAAAAGTATGGATGCAGGGAAGCTCAAGTTCCGTACCACTGCAGCCAGTCTCATAGAGAGACCTCTATATGTGTAAAATCAGCAAGTTAAAGAATCATCCATTTTTTAGTGCTTCTGTCACCTACCCCAAGGCTCTTTTTAAGTTCTCAGATTTTTGTTAAAACACATTCCAGTATATTTTCACAACCCACCAACTTTTAGAGGCAGTGGAATGCAGAGGTTTAGGCTTAGAAGCCCCTGATATTGGACAAGTTACTGAATTCACTTAGCCCAAGGCCACGATAATTATCATATCAAGATGAATGAGACTGGATTGGGGGATGGGCAGAGAACATGGAGGTGCGGGTATGGGGCAAGACCCTGCAGGGCCTTGTGAGCTACCGTAAAGGTTTTGGACTTTATTGCTAGTCCAGTGGGAAGCTGCTGAGCTGGTTGTTTCGTCCCAATTTATTACCACTTTTCAATTGAGATATAATGTGTCCGCAATAAATGCAAAGATCCTAAGTGTTCCGTGAGGTTGTTTTTTTTTTTTTTAAGTTTTTGTTTATTTAATTTTTAGAGAGAGAGGGAAACAAACATCAATGTGTGGTTGCCTCTCGAGCGCCCCCCACTGGAGACCTGGCCCACAACCCAGGCAGAGTGCCCCGGCTGGGAATCTGACGGGCGATTCTTTGGCTCGCAGGTCGGCACGCAATCCATTGAGCCACACCAGCCAGGGGGAGTTCCGTGAGTTTTTAGAATTATATACATCTACGTAACCACCCCCACAAAAGAAGATACAGAGCATTTCTATCACCCCAGGAAGGTCCTGCCTGTCCCTTTCCAGTCAATTCCTCCCTGTCCAGAACACCGAAGGGTCTAAGTACTATCTTGTGTTTGCGTTTTGAAGGGATCAGTCTGGCTGCGGCGGGCACAGAGGACAGCCTGAGAGCAGCAAGGACAGCATTTCGAAGGCGAGGCCGCCTAGCAACCACAAAGCGTCGTCCGAGGGTTGACAGCGCTGCCCTGGGGAAGGCCATCCAGGCCCCGCCCCACCCCATCCAGGCCCCGCCCCACCCGGTTCCTCAAAGGAGCCAGTAGGCAGCGTCGTCCCGAGAAGTGGGGCGGACAGAGGCTGCTTATTGGTCGGTTCTCCGGAAGCGATAGGATTCCGAATCTGGCCCAAAGTCGTGCGGCCGCCGGCTGCGTGTGGGTGCGCGGCGGCGCGTGGCGTCCGGGGGGAGGGTCGGGGCTGACCCGCGGGGCGCGGGTGTGCTCGCTTCACGCTGGACCGAGGTCCCCTCGCGCTGAGCCTCAGTTTCCTCCTTTTGCAGTAGCGGAGCATGCCCCGCGTGGGGCACCTCAGGCCCTACCGCGGAGCCCCACTGCCGGCCAGAGGGGTGCCTCAGCTACTGGGACGGGACGGAGGGGGCTCGGGGATCCCCACAGCCCTAGGCCCCGGTGCGTGACTGACCCTCACGTTGCCAGATTCCCCAGCGCAGGCCAGGATGTTCGTCCTGGTGGAGATGGTGGACACTGTGCGGATACCCCCGTGGCAGTTTGAGAGGAAGCTCAACGACTCCATTGCCGAGGAGCTGAATAAGAAGTTGGCCAACAAGGTACTGGGAAAGTTGGCCCCTCAGGATCGCAGGAAAGCCGTGGCACGGGAGGGCCCAGCACTGCCCACCCGCATGGTGCAGGCCTGGCCTTGGTCATGCCAAGCCTTGGCCTTGGGCGAGTAGCTTATCTCAGAACTCGGTTTCCTCACCTGTATGTGGTAATCATTATCCCACGAGGATGTTGGAGGGAATCAAAAGGGAAACAGGGTTTGAGAAAGGCCTTTGTAACTGCGCGGTGCTAGACTCCACACTTCCAAATTGCTTTGCAATCTTAAGTAAGCATTTATCCACTCTGAGCCTCCGTTTCCATTTGTAAAATAGAAATAATAATTGCTGTCCAACCAGGCCTTGTTTTTGCAAGGATGGACGGTCAGGAGGTTTATCCATTCATTCCTACGGGAAAAAATGCGTGTGCACCTTCCGTGTGCCAGGCCTGTGTGCCTTGGCGCGCGATCGCCAGAGGTCTTCCACTGCGTCCTCTGCAGTAACCCTCCCTCCTCAGTTGTTCCAAGCATCTCTTTTTCCTTCTTAGCACTGCACTTACTGTACTCTATTTTCTTACGGGTTTCCTGGGTTACTGTTTTTCTCTTTCCCTCTCCAAGAGGGCAGGGACCTTTGCCCGTATTAGGTAAAGCCAGGCACAGAGGAGCTGTCCCATAATGGTCTGTTGATCGAATGAATAACAGAAGGTTCTACCCTGTAGTGTGGTGGGAAAAGCAGATAGGAATGAGAGGCTCCAGTTGAGTGTGATTGACAAATTGAGGTAAAGGCTTTGGAGGACAGGCGTTCGCAAGCCTGTGGAAGAAAGGAACTTCACCTACGAGAGGGGCGTATTTTGGGGCTGGGAGGAGCTAGCTAGGGTGTTTGTTTTTTTATAGTGGGAGGGGCTGGGCAGAGAGAAGGGCTGTGCAGACAGAGGACACGGCATTTGCAAAGGCCCTGTGGCCTTGGGAGAGAATATTGCACCTTCGTGGCCTAGCGGAGCCTGGTGTGGCCTGGCAGGCTGTCAGGGTGGCAGGGGCCAGGCCGCGCAAAGGACCTGCTCATGGGGTGTTGGTCTGCATCCTCAGAACAGCAGGAGGCGATAGGTGGGGAGGACCCAGGGAGGGGAAGATTGGCCTGCTTTACACGGGAGGCAAGTCCCTTCCATAGAGGCGGAGCTTACAGAAGTGGGTGTGCAGACCTGGGCGGTTGGTGGTGGTGGAGAGACTCACAGAGTCCTTGGTAGGTGGCTTCTGGTCATTTTGTGATGTAGAAAGTGAGGGAGTCTGAGGGGATGATGTGTGACCATCATGGAAGGAGAAGGTGCGCAAAGTCCCAGAAAGGAAAGTAGTACCTTTGTGGCCTGGGTCCTTCAGTGACCTGGTGAGATAAGTCTTTCTGTGTTTGAATCATTGAGTCATTTGAGAGGCAGCCTCACAGAGAGGTCCGTGGTCCGGCAAAGGGCACAGAGCTTGTGCTGGACTTCGCCTCGCCGCAGTGAGGTCTGGCCAGGACTCTTGAGTTCTCGGAGCTTCTTGCTAACCCTTGAACAGTCCTACAAGGTTTCTAATTAGGAGGCGATGACACCGGTGGCAGATTAGCAGGCACCAAGCAAGCAGCCAGTTTTTTGGAGCACCATGGGGTCGGGGTGGGGCAGGGATAGTCTCTGCCCAGCCCCAGGACTGTGGCCATGTGTCACCCTGCCAGCCTCAGTCCCTGTGGCCATGCCTGTGTGTCTGAGACTTTGTGAGCAGAACAGAGATTATTTATGGTTCTGATGTTCACTGAGCTGTGAGCTCTAGTGTAGGAAGGTGTTGGTTCAACCAGAGGTTCCCCTACCACTGATTCCTGTTAGCAATGGCAGTGATCTTTCATTGATTATTATTATTGCTAGCACGTGAGCCAGGCACAGGGCGAGCAGCTTCCCATCCATCCATTCTCTCTTTCGGTTTAACAGCCCTGCAACCTGGTATGTCCATTTTTGCAGATGGGGAAACTGAGACTCAGAGAGGCAACCTTAGAGGCCACACAGTGAGTGGCAGAGCTGGCACTGTAACCTGGGTCTGCCTTGTCATCAAAGGCCCTGTTCTTTCCAGCGCTCTACCTTTTCTGAGGTTCTTCAGCTGTGGTGCCTGTAGCCAGTGCACCAACTCACTTCCTGCAGTGAAGCGGGTGATCATCCCTGCCCTGGAGTGGGAGGTCTCAAGAGACACAGCCTAGGAGCCGGGCCTTGGAGTCACCGTGTGTGTGTGTGTGTGTGTGTGTGTGTGTGTACACTGATGCACGTAGGTCGTGTACAACGTGGGACTCTGCATCTGTCTGTTCGACATCACCAAGCTGGAGGACTCCTATGTGTTCCCCGGGGATGGCGCTTCGCACACTAAAGGTGAGTACCCTTTCCTCCTGGGGCATTGGATTTTTGAGGCTCAGTTTTCAGTGGTGAGAGTCCTGGTCTGGGGCTTGGGAGACCGGGGGCCTAGTCCTGACTCTGCCAGGAATTGACTGGGTGACGATGGGCAGAATCTTCTCTCTAGGCCTCAGTTTCCTCATCTATAAGAAATGGAAGGTAGCTCTGGTCTGGTAGCTCAGTTGGTTGGAGCGTGATCCTGATATGCCAAGGTTGTGGGTTCAGTCCCCGGTCAGGGCACATAGAGGAATCAACCAGTGAATGCATAAATTAAGTGGAACAACAAATCGATTTCTCTCTATCTCTCTCCCTCCCACACTTCCTCTTGCTCTCTAAAATCAAAAAATAAAAATTAAAAAAAAAGAAAAAAAATGGGAGGCGGACAAGGCCTCTCCAGCCCTGAGACTGTGGCCCTGTGCCTGTGCCCGCTTTAGTCTCGGCTGCTCCTGAGCCAGGCTCTGTGCCTGGCCCTCAGGCTGGTCCGGAGGGGACAGGGGCGCGGGGAGGGAGCAGGCTACACAGCTTAAGACACTTGGAGAGGTTAAAAGAGTGGAGAGCAGAGGGGAGCGCAGCTGCCCCTCCTGAGGGAAGGCTGGGTGGGGATGTGGGATTTTGAGGGGCACTAGGACACAATGGTTAATAGTGTGGCCTCTGGGTTCAGATCTCACCTCTGCCACTTCTTCCCTGTATACCCTGAGCAGAATATGTAACCTCCCTGTGCCTTGTTTCCTCACCTGTAAAATGCATTTAACAGTAGTTTTGATATTACAGGACAGTTGTGAGGATTACTGGGTTAGTACACGCAAAGCTCTTCGGACAGGACCTTGGTACACAGTGAGTGCTGAGCGCTCATCCATTTGAACTTTTTTTCTGAATCTGTGGGTCAGCTAGGTGGTTTCCCCCGGACCGGCTTGGCCGGGGCTGGATGGTGGAGGGTGGCCTCACGTGTCTGGTGGTTGGCAGGCTGGTTGGTGGTGGGGTGGGGGTTTCGGTTGGAATGGCTCATCTCTGGTCTCTGTGTCTGACCTTTCGGTAGGCTAGACCTGGCCTGAGAGCCCCTGCTTATATCCCATTGGCCAAAGTAGCTCACGTGGCCAAAGGCAGCTACGGAGCCGAGAAGTAAGCTCCACCTCGCCCAGCTGTCACTTGGCAAAGAGGTGTGCACTAGGGATGGGAGGGCAGGCCACCAGACCTGGGGGGAAGGAGGGACACGAAGAGGAAGGGTCACCTTGGAAGAGCTCTCCGGGAGGGAGTGCGCCACCCTTCACTCTCCTGCCTGGACCCAGCCAAATCACAAGTGAGGGGCAAGGGGGCCACTGAGGCGGTTCAGGGCTAGTGAGAGCCTGGGTGCAAGACCTGCCCTGTCTTGGGGGGTGGGGCCTGCGACGACTTCAGCCAGGAACCAGGTGATTCGCACACAGGCCTGCGCTGGAGGAGCCCTGCCCTAGCCCGTGTTGCTCGGCCTCGTGGCACAGGCGCAGGGATTTCAGAACATTCCATGCGGCTGCCTGGTGTCCATGTCCAGGGATCTCGCGGGCGGCGCCGTGCTCTGCTGTTTGGAGGGACTAGGAGCAGCCTCATTAGCAGGAAAAGAAGCCAGTGCCGTGAGGGCCTCCGCCTACAGAGACGGGGTTGCCGAGATGAGCCCAGTCTCTGCCTTTGGGTGGGGCCCTTGGTTGTCCAGGGGACAAGTAATGAGAAGCACCAGAACCTCAAGGGAAACTGGGAGAAAAAAGTTAAATTTAAAAAAACCCTGTCCCTTCACTTGGTCATTTCTGCCATTGCCACTGGGTGTAAGATTTCCCTTGGTTTTCCTCGTCCCCCTCCAATCACCTGGTCGCCCGTTTTCTTGGGACCCAGGGGTGAGGAGCAGAGCACTGGGTTTGGCCCCTCACAGACCTAGATTTGAATTCTGGCTCTGGCTCCCCGGGCAGGGACCTTGGGCAAGTAAGTCCACCTCTCTCAGCCTCGGTTTCCTCACCTGTGAAAGGGGGTTACCACCGGCAGCCGTAAAGCTCCTCGTGGCCCGCTGAGTGCTGGGCAGGGTGGATCGTTGGTCTGTGGCGGGGGTCGGTCGCCCTGCGTCTGTGCTCAGCCCCCCAGCCGGCCTCCTTCCCCCATGCCCCTCGCTCCCAGGGCTGTGGCCAGAATGTGCCGAGGGAGGGCTCAGCACCACGGCTCCCCCTTTGCTTTGAAGGTTCATTTGCCAGTTGTTTCTGTTCCTTCCATTTCTGCTCCTGCCCAGGCCAGTCGCTTCTCCTCTCTAAGACTTGGGTTCCACATCTGGAAAAACGGTGCAATAATAGCAGCACTGATAGTGCCCATCGCCAACAATGAGTGTGAGGAATAAATGGGAAAAACCATGTGAGGCCTCTGGCACCGAGGAAGTGCTCACACGATGGCAGCCATTGTCATTTGTGGCCGTGGCCAATGGACAGCTTTCTGTCTTGTCACTTAGGGGATTTTTGCTCGGCACCAGCGCCGTGTCTCCCTGGGAACCCTGGCCACCCTGGGAAGCCAGGTCGGCCTGCTGCGACGCCCCGCCCGGGCGGACTGGGGCCTGCTCCGAGCTCCCAGCAGCCTGTTGTCTTCAGGCCTGCCACTTGCGTTGTCCTGTTTATTCGAAGTTGTGATAAAATATATATATGACATAAAAATTCGTTGCTTTAACCACTTTTAAGTGCGATTCCGTGACATTAAGGACACCTGTATTGCTGTGCAGCCGTCCCCACCCAGCTCCAGAGCTTTGTTGTCATCGCAGACAGAAACTGCCCACTAAACGACTCCTCGCACTCCCCGCCACCAGCAGCCTCCACCCTGCTTCCTGTCTCCGTGCGTGTGGCTCCTGGGGGCCTCACAAGCACGGAGTCCTGTGACATTTGTCCTTTGTAGAAACTCAGCCATTCTGAGGCAGCCCTGCCTCTCCTGAACAAATTTTACCCAAGGCCACGACTAAGAACAGGTCTTCCTCTTCTTAGTGGTCCTTCCGACCTCCTTTTTGACTTTCTGGACTTCCCATCTGCACGCTAAACATTCCAGAACTCTATGCAGCGCCCAGCACAGCACGATCCCGGCTGGCCCTCCAGCTGGTCTGTGGCCTCCTTTTTGCTTTTTAACTGAGACCCAATGTACATACCATAGTTTACCCTCTTAAAGTATACAATTCAGTGACTTTTAGTATATGCACAGGGCTGCGCCACCATAGCCACTAATTCCAGAACATTCTCAGTATCCCAAAAGAAACCGTGTACTCATTAGCAGTTACTCATTTAGTTCACTTAGCCCCTGGCAATCACTAATCGGCCTCTGTCTCTGGATTTGCCTATTCTGGACACTTCTTTTTTTAAAATATTTTTAAAATTTAGTTTTAGACAGAGGGGAAGGGAAGGAGAAGGGGGGCGGGAAAGAAGCATCAGTGTGTGGTTGCCTCTCGCACACTCCCTACTGGGGATCAAACCAGTGACCCTTTCGTTCGCAGGCCAGCACTCAAACCACTGAGCCACACCAGCTGGGGCTATTCTGGACAATTCGTAGAGGTAGAATCACACACAGTGGCCTTTTTATGAGTGGTTTCTGTGACATAGCATGATGTCCTCGAGGGTCATCCACATTGGAGTGCGTGCCGGCTCTTCACTCCTTTGAGGCGGAATACTGCCCCACTGCACAGATAGACTGTTGTGTTGACCAGTCACCTGTTGGCCTGCTGGGTGGCTCACCATGTGCTTTTGGATGTGATGTGATTGCTCCAGACTCGGGCGCCGCGGGCACAGGATCCTGTTATCCTGCCCCGCCTTCCCCGTAAGTCCAGTGCCTGAACTGGCCTGATGCAGACTTGGTAGGGGCTCTGTGGGGACTTATTAAACTGAACTGATGCTGTGTCATATGGGGGACAGGGTTTTTCCATCCTGTGGGTGGGTGACCCTTGGCTGCCCTCGTCTGCTTGCTCCCTGTGAGGTCGGATGAGGACGTGTCATCTTCATGATGGCTTAGATGGCTCTCCTCTCCCCTCAACTCCCTGCCCAGTGGAATCACGAGGAGGCAGCCTGGCAGGGAGCTGGGGGCCACGTGGGCTTTGCTGTCCCTTGGCAGACCAGGCAGCTCAGGGTGCTGGTGGCAGGAGCCTGTGTTTGGGGAGTGAACCTGTCTGAGGAAGGCAGTTTCAGCCCCGTGGCCCTGTCTGGTGGTCCAGAAAGACTCGGAGTCGCCCCATAGCAGAACAGGGCAGAAGAGCTGTGTGACTGTCAGCAGGCTACACAGCCTCTCTGCGCAGTAGCAGCATGACCGCTGACACTATTGGATTGAGAGTCACTCGGTGACCAGCAGGGGGCAGCCTCATAGTTACTCTCTAGCCCTGGCGGTATTCAGGCCAGTGGTGGATGCCCCCGCCCCCGCCCCACCCCTGCCCACCTTCTCCTTCAGTGCTGTAAGCAAGGGGCGGGGGAAGCAAGGTGATGACTTCCACCAGGCCCTGGGGTCGAAGTCTGATGTGGGCAGAGACCTCACCTGGTATTCTCGGTGGGGTCCAGCGAATGGGGGCCACCTAGGCAGAACGCAGGAACCCACAGAAGCATTTTTTCTAGGTGGTCAGCTCTGTCCCCCTACTGTCGGGGCATGTTTAGCATTCCGTTCCAGGTCAGAGCTATGCCCAGGGCAAACTGCACCCGCCAGTGGGAGCCTTTGCCAGGCACCGCCGCCCTTTTTAGAATTCAAGGGGGACAGCCTGGAGGGAGGTTGGAAGTGACTTTGGGGTCATCGATGGCCCAGAATATGGGCTCAGGTGTGACTTATCTGATGGATTTGGGAGTCAGCCCTCGGTGCCAGGGTGTTGCTTCTGGCCTCTTACGAGGGCTAAGCTGTGGCCTTGCAGAGGATGGCCTGAAGGTCCCTCTGGCTCAGCTGACAGCTCTGGGCCCACAGAGGGACTGGGCGAAGACTGCCAGGCGGGCTCCTGGAGCACCACGGGGCCTCTGCGTCCGTGCGCTGGTGACTGAGGGCCGACCTGGCGGAAGCACCTGTTCCTCACCCCTGCTCATCCCTGGCGTGCTTGCTCCCTTTGCAGTCCATTTCCGTTACGTGGTGTTCCATCCGTTCCTGGACGAGATTCTCATCGGGAAGATCAAAGGCTGCAGCCCCGAGGGAGTGCACGGTAATGGCGGCCCGACCCCTCAGACGAGACCTGGGAGCACAGTGGGGCCAGTAGCTGGGGCCCCGCCCGGGCCAGCCGGCCTCCCTTTACCTTCTGTGCTGGGCCATGTGGCTGGATGCAGGTGGCGGGGGAGTCAGATACAGAAGCAGAATCTCCCCACGGTGCCAGAAAAGCTTGGGAGCGAGAATGCCCAGCCTCTGCCTGCGTTCCTGTAACAGGAGGACCTCAGCCGGCTGTGAGGCTGCACCATGAGGCCGAGCTGGTCGAGGGCACTCAGGTCTTCAGCACCCACTGGTCCACGTTGTGTGCGGTGGCCACCTTAGGTTTTGGGTGGCTGCTCAGGGTGTGTGAGTGACACAGGCAGAGGCCCATGTGGGACTCCAGGTTGGGGAGGGGCCCAGATTTCCATGGTGATATCTGCCCCATAGGCAGCACATGGTAAGGGGCTTGCCTCTTGAGCATCCAGACCCCTCATTGTTGAACTGTCCACTGTGAGTCCCTGTCTCATCCTGTCACTTTTTTCCAGTCTCTCTAGGGTTCTTCGATGACATTCTCATCCCCCCAGAATCACTGCAGCAGCCAGCCAAGTTGTATCCTCCCAAGGTTAAGGTGCGTCAGAGGAGCGCGGGCCTCTCTAAAGTCTCGTCCTCACCCCTCAGGGTGGCTCAGGGCCCTGGGATACGATGCCGCTGGCCTCTGTGCCCTCCCTGCCTGTGCTTCTGTGCGCCCCACGCTCACCATGGTGTCCACGTGCCTGTCCACTGTCTGGGCTGTCAGGCCCGGTTGTCTGTAGGGTGTGCACTGTAGGCAGGGTACTGTTCACTCGCGGTTCACTTTGCTTTGGGCGTCACTAGAGGGCAGTGTGGCTCCTCAGTGTGGGCTCTGTAGGGCGACCAGGGGCTACCCTGCTGGTTCGGCAGACAGCTCTGACTGGGCCTGTGCCCGGCCAGGGCCAAGGTCTGTATGTGAGGCCAGAATTTGTCAGAAAACCTGACCCAGCCCTGCTGGCCCTCTTGCCAGCTCTGGGCCCTCAGGCATGTGACCTTCCGTCCTACCACCAACCCCTTGGAAACTGGGGAGTCCTTGCGCTGCATGGTCAGTGTCGCAAGGTGCAGGAGGGAAGCGATGTGGAACCGCAGCATGCACAGAAGCAGGCCCGCCTTAGCCAACGTGGGAGGGCGCTTTCCGTGTTTTTCCTCCTCACCGCACCCCTGCAGGCCTTGCCACAGGCCCTGTTTTACACATGGGAACCCTGAGGCACTGAGAGGTTCGGCCTGACCCCAAGTCACAGCTGGCAGGTGGTGGAGCTGATTCTGCACTTGGCAGTTGGCCTCTGAGAGGACCCACAGGCTGAGTCACACCCAGCAGGGAGGGGACCCCAGGCAGCAACGGGCATGGTCATTTCCCTCTTGAGAGGTGAACGTGAGCTCTGCTCTTGAGCCTCCTTCCTTCTTTCGTGACCCAAGGAAGCCTGTGGGTGCTCAGCAGGGTCCATGTTCCCAGCCTGCTCCTTTCTGTGGGGCCTGCACCTGGCCCAGCCTCACCACTGGCACATAGGCCTGCTTTCCCAGTGCCTTCCCAGCCAAAGGGAGGGTGGGTGCTGGGGGAGGAACCCCCAACCCTCAGGAGCTCCGCCCCGGCCTGATTGACGCCTTGACCGGGCCCACCCAGCGACGAGGCCGAGCAGATGTGGGTGTGGGAGTATGAGACGGAGGAAGGAGCGCACGACCTGTACATGGACATCGGCGAGGAGATCCGCTTCCGGGTGGTGGATGAGAGCTTTGTGGACACGTCCCCCACCGGGCCCCGTTCGGCCGAGGCCGCCTCTGCCAGTGAGGAGCTGCCGAAGAAGGAGGCCCCGTACACGCTCGTGGTGAGATGTCCTGATGTGCTGCCAAAACCCAGGGGACTATGTGGTGACAGAACCCAGCTGCTGAGTAGTGGGGGAGCCCCTTCCGTGTGGTAACTTTGGTCCTGCTCTAGAACCCTCTCCCCCAGCAGGTCGGGGTGCAGGTCCCTGCGTGGTGCTGGGCAGCCACTTCTCTCCGGGGGGCCTTGGCGCCAGAAGGCCTGGGCAGTAACCCTTGTGGTGAGGCGACTAAGTGGTCAGGAGCCAGAGTCCCAAGAGCAAGGGCAGGGCTTCAGGGAGGGTGACCCTCAGGGCTCCTCCCCCGCCAGGTCTGAGTTGGGTTTGGTTTGCCTTTTATTTTCATGAACTCACACAGTGACACATGACAAAAGTGGGGTTTCAGAGGCCTCCTAGTAGGGCTTCTGATGTAACGTGGGCCCCAGGTTAGTCCCTTCGGGGGCAGCTGTCTCTGCCAGAAATCCCAGTGGCCCAGGGCATCCCCTCCACAGGTATGTGGCGCCTGCGCCTTTCCGGCAGGAAGACGACAGGTGGCTCGGGAGAGCATGCTCGCGACCCACCTGCTGGTGCCCGGGTTTGGACAGGCCTGGGGACAAGGGAGGGGACCTGACCCCAAGGCCCAGAGGCCGGGGGCCATGTCCTCAGTAAACCAGCACTTTCCTTAGAGGCCTCAGGAGAAGCTGGGGCAGGAGAGGGGCGTCTGGCTGGGTGCTCACATGTGCCAGCTCGGTGCGCCGGGCCTGCTCAGAGCCCTGAACAAAGGGCTCCTTTTGCCCCCTGTCCCAGTTGGCTCACTCCCAGATGGGGGATGAAATGCCTGTTCTCTCTCCTCCTGGCAGGGATCCATTAGTGAGCCGGGCCTGGGCCTTCTCTCCTGGTGGACTAACAGCTAGCCCTGGGGCTTGGCGGTGGGCCGGCCCACATCCGCAGACCCCAGCCCAGCCCTGTGGAAGGGCCTGAGGACAGCAGCGGCCTCACGCGTGCCCAGGACCGGAGTGTGTGCCGTGAGGAGATGCAGGGCGGGGCCAGGAGTGCCCTGCCACCTTGTCCCCTCCCCTGCCGCCCTGGCCTTGCTCTTCTTCCCGGAAGCCCTGCTCTCAGTGACAGCAAAGACACTTAATAAACAATGGTGGCCATCGTGGAGGAGTCACCCATGTCCCTGGCTGTTGCCATGACCAAAGGTCACTGAATTGCCACAGATCAGACAGGATGCCCTTCTGGTTTTCAAATCACTTGCAGAGATGGCCCCCTGCAAATAGCAGAACTTGGGGGCTGGGAGATCGAGGCTGCCCCAGGCCAGGCTTTGGGCTGGGTTAGCTTGCTGGCTCCCTAAGGGAATACAGGGAGTGAGAGGCTGGCCTGGGCTGGCTGCCTTGGGCCATGGGAGCTGCCAGTGCTGAGACTGAGGGTTAAGGGACAGGCACCTTTTCACCAGCGTGTAGAAGGTGGAAGCTGTGGGCTTTGCTAGTCCAAGGTAAGGACAAGTGACCAGCTGTGTCATTCCCTCCCCACCCCCCAGTAACACAAGGAAGCGTGGGGACAGCTGTCAACTCTGACTACAGCCACATCAGAACACCCTGTGGGTCTGCCACAGACCCCCAGATCTGGGCACAAGGGCAAGCACCCCATTGTTAATTCAAAAGAATGGCTTTACACGGCTCCTCTTGCCCTATCACTCAGTTCTGCCGGGACTGGGATGCCAGTTTTGTAGTTGGGTCTTGTCTCAGTGAAGGGGCCCCCTGCCCTGGCCTTTTTGGCCCATGCCCGGCACCGAGCTCGGAGATGTGGGTAGTGCCAGTGGGCGTGGCTCCAGAAGGAGCAGCTGTGGATCAGTGCCGGCCACTGCCTCGCGCGGAGGTGGACTAGCTCTGACCTTGGACAGGGAGGCCTGTGTGGAAGACCGGGGCTGTGCCCACTCGAGTTAGGAGGACTGGATGCCCAGAGGAAGGCCAGGCAGCGGTAGAGGAATGTGGGCGCGGCAGCACCAGGGCCTGGTTTTAGCAGCACGGGATGGGAAGGCCTTCCCCTGGGGCCCGGCCCCGGGCCCACCCTAGAATGGAGGGCAGGGGCTGCTGCCCTGCAGACAGAAGTGGGTTAACGCAGGGCGGAGAGGCGGGGAGTCTGCCAGCTCACGTCTCCGCTGCAGTGTTGGGTCCGGCTGTGGCGTGGTTATCAAGGGCCTCACCAACTTTGGTGAAAAGAGTCCCCTGAACCCTGGAGCTGATAATAGAGACAACACCACTCACACGGGAGCAGTCGCTGAATGTGGATTCTTATTTTCCTTGCAAGACCAAAAGGTTCTTTAAAATCCTTCAGCCACCAGTGAAATGATCAAACAGGAGGAAAACTTTAGATGGGAGTCTTGTCATCAAAAATAAATAGAGTTGGTTCAGTATCCCAACCAAACAGGAAGGCAGATTAACAACCCTCCAACCATGGGTCACTCCGCGGGCTAAGGGAGGGGAGGGCAGGAGACCTGGCCACACCGTCTCAGTGCAGGAAGCCACAGCTGGATCGGATCAGGTGTGGTCTGGTGACAGGCTGAGCTGCACTAGTGCCGCCAGAGCTGAGTCCAGGAGCAGGGCGGGCCGTGGTGGCAGAACGGGATGTCACTGCTGCTGCAGCTCCTTCATTCTGTTGAGAGCGCTGCCGGCACGGAACCACTCGATCTGGGTCTCATTGAAGGTGTGGTTCAGGAGGATGGTCTCCTGGGTCCCATTGGGGTGCTTGATGACGCATTTCAGGGGCTGCAAGAGAGGAGTCAGGTGTGGGCGGGGTGGCTCTTAGGAACATGGCCTTGGGTTCTGCTGGAGGGTCAGGAAGGCAGGTCCCGTTCTGTGGCCTTGGGGGCGGGCAGTAAGACCTGAACAGCAGATCTGAGGCCAAGTGCATCCTGCGGGGCACAGGCATGGGCCACTGGCCCCTCCGTGCCAAGCCTGGGCTAGTGGGCACACAGGAGGCAGGCCTGAGCTGGCTCTGCCCCATCTCTGGGCAGGCGCTTCCCTCCTCCTCTGGGGGCTGCCTAGAGAATTTTAAGGCCCTTCCAGCTGAAACCAAGACTCATGGGAAGAGGTACAGGTGGGACCAGGCATAGAAAGGGAAGCCAGGTGGCTGTCCCCTGTACTCCCCCCTCAGGAAAACCCTTGGGGAGAGGGGATGGCTAGCCTGCCCGCCTTCCCTGGCGCTCTGACCTTGCCAGGGGCAAAGTCCTTCAGGCCCTGGATGGTGAGCTTGTCCACAGGGTGAATCTTGTTGTAGTCAGCTGGGTCGGCGAAGGTGAGGGGCAGCAGGCCCTGCTTCTTCAGGTTCGTTTCTGGAAGGCAGAGGACACGTTCAGCCCACAGTGAGCAGGACCCCATCCCCTCCTCTGCAGGAACCTCACCAGGCCAGACAGCTTCCTTTTCTAGGTTCAGTTAGGGCTCTGGAGACACCCTAGTCCTACCACCAGGGATAGAGCCGGGGTGGCGGCCCCAAGGCCCAGGCCGGCTGCACTCCCAGCGATGTGCTGCCGCTTGTGGGCCCTACACCAGTGTGCGAGGGTGCTGTGCCTCTGTGAGGCCTCCCTGATGGATGTTCACCAGCAGGAAAAAACCCTTGGACCACGTGCCCTGGATTGCCACTGTTTAGGTCCACAAGTTTAGAAGAGAGATCGGTGCCTACCAGAGATGGGAAGCTATGGGCGTCAGACTCAACCTGCGTCTGAAGGGGCAGAGGCTGGTGGGTGTGGAACCAAGAGCTGTGTGCACGGCCTGGGAACCAGGCACATGGCCCTGGCACAACTCAGCCACCGGCACGCTGGGTGACCCTGCGCTGCCAGTGAGGGGAGCGGATGGGGCTGGGCTGGGGCTCAGCTCACCGTGGATCCTGGCGAAGCTCTTGGTGATGATGGCCCGGCCCCCAAGGTGGCGGGGCTCCAGCGCTGCATGCTCCCGGCTGGAGCCCTCGCCGTAGTTCTCATCTCCAATCACCGCCCACTGGATGCCATGTTTCTGTCAGGCGTGGGAGGGGTGAGGCATGAGGGAGGAGGGCTGTGCCCTGGGCTTCCTCAGGTTCACAGGACAAGGGGTTGCAGAGTCCCCTCCTCACCTGCTCCCCAAGGGCAGGCGAAGGCAGAGGTGAATCAGGCCCAAACTAGGCCCTGAGCAGAGGCGGTGAGACATGGGCCCTGTCTGTCGTGGGCAAGGGAAGGTACAGCCCACCCATCGGTGCTCAGCAGAGAGGCTGGCTGGGGTGGAGGGCCACAGGGTGGGAGCAGATCCCAGAACAGTGGGTATACAGCAGAGGTGACACACACAGGACTGCTCCATGGCACCAGACATCGCTCAAGTGCAGGGCTCTTGGGTGGAGAGCACCCCTTCCCTGGACCACCCACTCTGCCTCACCCAGCCACCAGGAGGTGCCAGAGGACCCAACCCCTATCCCTACTGAGTCTGACCCACCTTGTAGTAACGGGCAGTGTCAGGGACAGGACCAAACTCCTGGGTGACAGCATTGCGCACGGAGTTGGCCTTGCCGTTTTCAATGTTGATGGCACCAATGAGCAGGTTGTTGGAAATGTTGTCCAGGTGCCCACGGAACTTGAGCCAGGGGCCAGCAGCTGAGATGTGGTCAGTGGTACACTTCCCTTTGACCTTGGATGGGTGGGCAGGGAGGACAGAGGTTAGGGCGTGGCCCTTGACTGGTAGACAAGGGGAGAGGCCCTCTGGAGGCTGGCAACAGGCCAGTGGCCAGGACCGAGGAGGGGTGACAAGATAAGCAAGTGCAAAATACACAGTCTATAGTCCTGGCGTTGTCACCTCTGGCCAACAGGACTCAGGCAAAGCCATCTCCCCCACTAAATAAAGGCCACAGGAGTGAGAGCTCCAGGGAGGACCCTCAAGGATGAGACAGGGCGGACAGATGAGTCTGCTCGCTCCCCCTTCAGGCCTCAGCCCCCAGTGAGTGATGCCTGGGCTGGAAGGCCAGTTACAGGCTTCATGCTGGACACAGAGGAGTGAGGGGGTGTGTCTGGGTCCTGGCAGACAATCAATCAGTTTTGTTTATCATGTGGGCTTAGTATTGATGATGTCACTGCTTGGAGACCCCTTAGTCAACAGCACAAATTCATGTCCAACATGGATCTGAGCCTTCTGACCACATCACAAAGGCTTGTGTCAGCTCAGCTCCCAAACCCAGGCCACTCCACTAGTGCCCAACGGCGGGAACAGAGTGATCCACGGCTTCTGGGGCCTGTCTGGTCAAGCCCGAGGGGTGGGAACCTGCTGTGCAGGGTCAAACGTGCCTTTCTTGCCATTCTCGTGGTGCATTCACTGCCCACACCCGCTGGAGGTGGCACTTACTAGTCGCAGCCAGATGGCTGAGAGCCCCAGACAGCAGCGGGCATGGGGCAGTGAAGAAGGGGACACTGGGCTGCGACTCCTCTGCAGCCAAACCTCCCTTCCCGCCCCGCACCTTAACCTGCCCAGCTCCTTCCCAGGTGCCCAGAGAAGAGCACGTGGTCTCAGGCCCTCCCTGGTGATCTGGGAAGGGGACCCTGACAGGCGGGGGCCATTCTCCGATGTCCCCACGTTGCTGACCTTGATGAGGATTTGCAGATCCTCCAGGTCTTTGCCATCCCATTTGTCAAAAGGCTCAAGAAGCTGCAAGCGCTGGCTGGTGGGGCTCACGTCTACTCGCTGCCCACTGCTATCCTTGGGAGGGTGCTGGTACGTGTCCTGCCCAGGGTCGAACTCCTGCAGGGAGACAGAGACATGTTGCGTATGCGATCCTCAGTCCCCTCTCACACAGAAGGCAAGCTCCCTGTGCCCGGGGTGAATATAGCTGCTTCCTTCTCACAAAGTGTCATCCATGCCTGCCCAAGACAGACAGGGCCGATACACCCAGATGTTGGGAAGCAGGTGTCCTGGCCACGCGGCCCTGGGCAGTGGCCCGAGGCACCCAGGCCGAGGCAGGCCTGCAGCGCTGCGAACAGAAGGCGCAGTGCCTGCTCACCGCGCGGGGCAGCTCATCCGCATCTGGAGCCTCCAGCTTGAACTTCTTGCCGTCCTTGCCTGTCAGGAAGTCAGTCTCTGGGTTAAACTTGAGGGTGCCAGCGATGGCTAGGGCTGTGACAATCTGAAATGGAGGTGGCCAGTTTGTTGGTTAGCATCGAACCCCACTCCCATGCTCCAACCCCAGCCAAAGCCTAGATCAAAACTGAGAGTGTAGCC